TGGACAATTTTACTTCAGTGCAAATTGGTAGGTAAGGCACAAGAGTTTTTTTCGACTCTACCTTTAAAAGAGAGTTTAAAATATGACACCGTAAAGCTAGCCATTCTCCGTGCTTATGAATTGGTCCCTGAAGCCTATAGGCAGAGGTTTCGAAACCATAAAAAACATTCTAGTTCTACTTTTGTGGAGTTCGCCAGAGAGAAAAGTGCTTTGCTGGACAAATGGTGTAATACAAGTAAAATTGATGACTTTGCGTCGTTGAGAGAATTAATTCTGCTTGAAGATTTTAAAGGTTGTCTGCCAGAACGTGTTGTGATTTATTTGAATGAGCAAAAGGTATCATCGTTGTCACATGCCGCTGTTTTAGCAGACGAATTTGTCCTTACACATAAGACTGTATTTTCTTTACGCACAGATAAGAGCGTAGTTTGGCTTCCTCCTATATCTGATCAGTCTTCTCGATTGAAAGTTTTCCCTTCATCTAAAGACGTCCGGAGCAAATCAATCTTTCGTTTTGGCGGATGTTTTATCATTGTCATCGGACTCATATTGTGGCTCAAGTGTCTTTGTCAGGGGCATTGAGATGGGAGTGGTTAAAGTTCCTCTACATCGCGTGTACATGAAGGGTGCACACGTTACAGGTTACGTGAAGGTCGGTGTACGTCCTTCGCTCCCAGTTAAGGGAGTAACTTTTAGAGTCATGCCCATGTTGGAGGTAACTGATATGCCGAAAATGAGTCTAGCCTCTGATGAGTTATCTAGAGTTTATCCAGATGTGTTTCCTGCGTGCGTAGTCACACGCGCACAGTCACGAGAAATTGTGGATGATGTTGATTTGACAGATACTTTCATAGTGCAGAATCTGGTCGGTGAAGGTATGACAAAGACGAAGTCAAGAGTTGGTTCAGAAACAAGAGTCTAATTTAAAGTGCTCAGAAAAGGCGCTTGGTAGTGTGCTGATGCTCTGTCTAGAGTGTAGCTTGGTTAATAAACATGGTATGTTTATTTTTTTTATGGGGTGAAGTGTTACGTCCCATGTTAAAATTGTGATGTGTTTTGGGTACGGTGTTCGTTTTTCGCTCCCCCTTTTTTTTTCTCTTTGTCTTTACTTTCATTTTCAGCAGGGAGACGCGGGTACCTGAGTGGTCTAATTCTCTGTCAATCATCAAGATGCTTAGTGACGACAACGCGCGGCTTCACCAATGAGGGCGCGTTATTTGATTATAAAAACTGCACCTGTGCGAGAAGCGGGAGTTCTCTTGCACGCTAGAGCACTCGTTTTGTTGTGATGGCACTTGCGTGCTTGTTTGTCCTGTACCATCTTGATGTTTGGACACGGTTTGTGGTAAAGTCTGTGTTCTTTGATAACTTAGTGAACAATGGCCCATTCGATCTTTCTTCTCTTTGAGGTTGTCACCGTTTCTGTTACATGGTTGTTAAACCAATGTTACTAAACGGGGAAAGAGAAAAAGAACAGGTAAGATATCACGTGATATACATGTGCCACACTGAGTTTTCAATTGTGTATAGAACACTAGGTTAGTGACACGTGCCACCTGATTGTATTTAATTGGTTGGTAGCAAGAGTAGTTTATTTAGGGCGTCCTTGACGCTGAAGATTTTTCTTTCTATTTAATTTAGGGGTTTGTTTGTGAATATTGATGGTTGAGTTAGATTAGAAGTTTTTTTTTTGTTCTTAGTAAGATTAGTTATGTTTTGTTTCTTTCTTTGATTTGGCACGGTCTCGTTCTTCTCTCTTTTCCCCGTTTATTTTGTGAGCCTTTTTGCTTGGTTATAAAGTGTATATAATTTGTAAATTTATGTAAATAATATCTTGGGCTAACTTTTGTCACTGTAATAAACAGACACTTTTTGTTTTTTTTTGCGTGTGATCGTTTTCCAGTACACGTCCCGTGTTTTGATGTCGCACCCCTTATTTCCCCTAGATTTAAAAGTGTTTGTAACAGCCATTAACAAAATTGCATGGGAAAAAGTATCAACATCCCTGCTATTGCACGTGATAAAGCATTATGAAATCGTTAATGTACAGTTTACATTGTGATATGACTTCAGTCAAGTTTGGCTTAAAAATCAGATGGACTGGTGTGTGAAGCCAAATCCAGTGTCATTGCTCAAGTGAAGAGAAGTGATGAGTGAATGGATACATGTTGGTTCATATAAGTATGTGTTTGTGTGAGTGACAGACGGACAGAGAGAGCTTAAAAGAGGAAGAGCACAAGAGAAACTGTTGAGGACTTTACCTTCTTGTGAGGAACAGTTGTCTGAGTCATGGCCAGCTCAAAGCTGTGAGCTCCCGTCAGCTGTGTTTTCTCCCAAAGTTTCCTTAGCTGCTTAACACACTCATCTTGACAGCACAACGCCTCGCTCACTTTACTCTGCACACAGACATGATACAATGCTAGCTTGCCAAAATACACACTCATAATTAGTGGTGTTTGCTAAGGCAAGAATCACACTGACCGCTGCTCATGGTCAGATAAGATTAACCACTAAGTCAAAGTAATAAAATGAGGAACAAAGAAACACATTACAGATAATAGAACAAGTGAGAGATCAATTAGTATGCATTTACACTCAGAGACTTAATGCACAGATTTATTTAGTCCCATCTATTGTTATGGTTTCTATGTCAGTTATCACAATTTCTGATTCAATCACAATTTGAATACAGTTGTCATTCCCCAAACTCTGCAATGTAAACTTAGCAGCATGGGAAATAAAGCTTTTATTCAAATTGTGAATGGATTGGATACAGAAAGTGAGCAAAGATCACTTCTATCTATCACTTTAGTTTGGCATGAGCTCATACGATAGTTCTTATAAATATATATTTAGAGTTTATAAATACACTGAACAAAAAGTCGGTTACGACGACGAACTGCAGTCAGGTCGAGACCCCGATGAGGATGACAAGCATGCAGATGAGCTTCCCGGAGACGGTTTCTGACAGTTAGTGCAGAAATGTTTTGGTTATGCAAACCGATTGTTGCAGCAGCTGGTGGCTGGTCTCAGACGATCTTGGAGGTGAAGATGCTGGTGTGGTTACACGTGGTCTGCAGTTGTGTGTTCTGCCAAATTCTCTGAAACGCCTTTGGAGACGGCTTATGGTAGAGAAATGAACATTCAATTCACGGGCAACAGCTCTGGTGGACATTCCTGCAGTTAGCATGCCAATTGCACGCTCCATCAAAGCTTGCGACAACTGTGGCATTGTGCTGTGTGATAAAACTGCACATTTTAGAGTGGCCTTTTATTGTGGCCAGCCTAAGGCACACCTGTGCAATAATCATGCTGTCTAATCAGCATCTTGATATGCCACACCTGTGAGGTGGATGGATTATCTCGGCAAAGGAGAAGTGCTCACTAACACAGATTTAGACAGATTTGTGAACAATATTTGAGAGAAATAGGCCTTTTGTGTACATAGAAAAAGTCTTAGATCTTTGAGTTCAGCTCATGAAAATGGGGGCAAAAACAAAAGTGTTGCGTTTATAATTTTGTTCAGTGTATATTAATATTATATAAGTATAATACATATAAAACATATTACATATTTTTAGCATATTATTATAAATGAATCCAAAACACACTATTTCTCTACAAAAAAAAAACTAAAAACCTTAAGGGGACTTCTAAAAACACTACTGAGTGGACTGCTTTTCCTAAAATAAATTTGCTAAAATAAATCAGAAACAATTAGAGAGACTTGACATTGTAGGATAATTGTGTTGGGCTCAAATTCTTACTGTAGTATGTAATATTTGATAGAAAGAGAGATTTGGTGTTTTACAGAAAGGCTACTAGATTGGAACAATAGCTTGTTATTAGAAAAGCTATAAAAGTTTCTTGAAAATCTACAGCCAAGCTACCCATCATGTTTGGCAAATGTGTAAATTGGAAAATTAAGTTATTAAGTTACAGTGATACATTAACATACACACAGACACACTATTTCACTATATTAGTAAGAACAACCCATAGACTTCCACTGTTTTTATATCAGGTTAATATTTTTTTTGGTTACACTTTACTTGAAGGGGTGTGCATAAGACTG